TTATATATAAATATCTCAATATTTATCATATTCAATATTATATTTTATTCTTGTGATATGTTTATGAGAGATTGCAATGAATTTTTTAAGTAGTGATAAAACTTTGATTAGTGTTTGACAAATACATATGTTTTCACAACATTATTGCAAATAGACAGATTAATATAACGATAACATAATATTCATACTATTATAATTTGAACAAATATTAATTGTATAAGTTTATTTTATTTTCTTTAAATTATGCAAAATAAAGATTATAGCGAACAGTTTCATTTTCATTTACTATGTGGTAACTCATCATCTGAAATATTTCATATTTTGTATGAATATAGCAGCGGAAGAACCTGCTGCCACAATGAGAGAAGTTTTGGCTAGTTTACCTGGATTTAGCTTAAAGTCAAGTCGCAGACGATCTACAAAGAGATTGTCTGCAACCGCGCAATTAGAAGCTGGTCTTGTGGATTTGGAATCTCCAGCGAGTATATTAGCAAGTACGAGCTTACGCGCGCTGTTAAATAGGCATACATTTCAAGGCTTGCCTCCACTGTATCAACGGAAGCTTGCACAACTCCTGCCTGCTGTGGATAGACAGGTACTAAATATAATTTCTCAATAATATGTACCAATGAATTATTTGATGAAATTTAATTAAACAGAGTCAATGTAAATACACATAGTATTTACATACTATTATTACATATAGTATTTACAATCTTATGATAATTGTATTGATTTAAAGTCAGTCTAATTATAAGTTCGGAATAAGCCATGACTTTGTTTAATTTGTTTTGAAAATATACGACATTTTCATTCTAATTGAAATTTAATTTATGTTATTCTATCTTATGTCTAGGATGCTGCTATCTCTGGACTGAACAATGAATTTTTTGCGAGAGCTTGCCTGGAATGGCGGAAACGTTTAGCAGAAGGGGAATTTACCCCAGAAAATCAGCAACGCCTGAAGATGGAAGCAGAACGAGATAAAAATAAGCTAGATCCATGGAAAGTGAAACATTTTGAACCAATATGGGGAGAAAAGCGAGAGCCTAAACTTAAATCGAATCTCCATTATATTAACGATTCACGTTCTAGTGGTGCAGTAACACGGTCAAGTTTAAGACTTCGTTTGGAATCTAGCGTGGATATTCCTGCTGTGGATATTCCTACTGTGGATATTCCTAACGTGGATATTCCTTCATCTGAGCATGCTGTCTGTTCCATTGTAATAACAGATGATAAAGTTGATACTAGCTGCAAGACCGAAATAAGCATAAAGAGTACCGATGATCTAGTTAGTTCTGAAGAAGTGCAACAAAATTTAATGTCCTTGGATTATAATACATTATCAGATAATGTGACTGATGAGAAACATTTAGATAACTCTATGCAAGTAAATTCCATGGAAATAACAGAAGATATTCAAATGCATGAAGGTAAAATAGAAGAAACTGACAAGATTACAGATATTTGCGAGAAACAAGAATTGGTTGAAGCTAATGATATTGCAAGACAATTATGTCAAGGAGCCATCTCAAATGTGTACGAAGAAGAAACAAATTTTTCCACCAGCGAGAAAAATTTGCCACCTGTAGAAAATAACATAATCGAAGCATCAGAAGAAGATACTGTGCTATTACCCGATGATAATTCATCACCCAGATCGAGTGAACAGATAGAACGTGCATCGCATACGTCCGGGGAATCAATTTCACAGCTTTCCAGTGAATATATATCGCAAGCATCCATAGATCAAATTTCTCAGATGTCAAAAGAACAAATTTCACAAATATCTAGCGATCAGATTTATCAAATATCGGATTGTGAAACTACGAGTATCCTTGAAAGTTCATCACCGCAGGATCAAGTTAGGCCCACAGATATCGTTATAGAGGATGCCAGTTTGATTAACAGTGATCAAACTGAAGTAACGCAGACTTCTCATGAAAATACAGCGGACAGCGAATCACAAATTCCAGAAGGAATGGAAATCGATAGTGAGACTTTACAGCGTATTCATGAACTTGAGGTAAAAATTTTAATCCCCACTACAAACGCACTATTAAGAGATTGTAGATATGTCATTAGCACAATTTCGATTGACTGTAATATTCATGAAAATAAAAATAA